TATCACCTGTTCTTTTTTAGATACACATTTTAAAACTGAAATTAAAAACTATTTTAATATAATCTTAAGTCTATTCGCTAAATAAAACCATAAAGATATCTGTAAAAATAAAATAAATTAATTTTCCTTGCTTAGAAGAATTTTATAGGCAGAACTGTAAAACACCCACCACTAGTGGCTAAAAAAGATTAATTTTTACTTTGGGTTTTAAAAACGAAAAATGACTTGTCATTTTGGAAATATACACATTTTAAAACTGAAATTAAAACTTACTTTATTTTTTTAATATCTAATTTTAGGTGCATTTGCTAGATAGAAACATAATTTTATTTGTAGAAAACAAACAATTTCACAATAGAGACTCACATATCTGGAAATATACACATTTTAAAAGTAAAATTAAGAACTATTTTAATTATTCTTAATATCTAATTTAGGTGCATTCCCTAGATAAAAAATAAATTTATTTATAAAAAAAGATCTTCATTCATTTTTCTTGTTTACAATTTTAATTAGTGATTGGTGTACTGGCTTACGAGAAAACAATTGCCCTTACAAAAATCCAACTTCATAAAATTTAACATTAAGGTGAAACTGGCAACTATTTTTTATTTTTACTTGCTATCTTTTGTTAACTTAATTTTACCACAATAAATTATTTTTTTAAAAACTGAAACAAATAGATTTCAGACATGTTGTATTTTCCTTTTTTTCTGTTTGAAAACATTTTATGATTTTCAAGTGTCATATCTGTCATATTTCCTTTTTTTCTTCATTTCTTTTGTAAACAAATAGATTTCACATTTATTTCATAAACTAGTCAATTAAATGTTTTTAACATATTTTTGTTCAATCTTTTTCTCTTACAGTGGTATAACTGTTGATAAAATTAAATTTTATTAACATTTGAAGGCCTTTTTCAATAGTGTTTCTTTGGATATGGTCACTCAGTAGTGATAAAAAAATGAAACCGAAACCGTTCAGTTTCGTAAAAAATTTCGATGCAGCTTCACGATGTGAAGATGAAACTGAAAAAAGTTGTTTTTTTCAGTTAAGCTGCCCAACTCTACACAAAATTATATTCTGTTGCAATTAAAGACCATATTGTTGTATACAAGTAATTTATATCATGGACATACACAAGGTGTATAGGTGAGACCTAGCTTGTAGATGTAGACAGATGATATATCTCTACTAGTGCTACTCATATAAATGTGGGTGGATATTTCAATTTCCAGTAATCATATGAGGGAAATTGTAATTACATGTCTAAATTTGAATTTCACTTGCAAATATGCTTCTATGACCTAATTGGGATGGAACTGGTCATATTAGACAGACAGCCAAAAATACAAGTTCAAATCTTTTCAGAGGCTAATTTTAACATTTCTGATCCTGGCTGATTACATAATAGTTATAATATAAAAAAGATGATATTGGCAATAAGAAAATAAATAAGAACAAAACAAGCTGTGAATAGGTATAAGATTTTTGACAATTCTAATTCACTTATTTTCCATAGATGTATAAATCTGTGGACAATATATCTCTGTAATTTCAATACAACATTTCGTTTTCAGCTTTCAAAAATGAACCAAAGACTTCAGATGTAAGGAATTATTTTTCAAAAGAATCAGAAATGTGTTAACAGATGATATTATTAAGCTCTGGAAAAATATTTAATTCTATGAAATAGATCAAAATTCTTATGTACCTGCTCCTTCAAAATATAGATGATTTAAATATTTTACAAGGGTTACAAAAAACTGAATAATTTTAGTAATAAAATATTTTTTTTAAATCAAATAGGTGAATGCAACTACTGCAAAATAAAATAGTCTCTGAAAAGAAACAGAAATTAGAAAACAATATAATGGCAAGAGAACTAGTTTCAATTCTACTACTTATCTTTGACAGGTTTCAAGTTATTATGTGAAGAGCAAACACTTCAGGAAATTCATTATCAGAAGTTAAACTTCATTTAATGTCAGTTTCAAAAAACCTTTACTAAATATAATAATGAGATTTATTAAAAAAGTCTGTTAAAGAAATATTGTGAAGTCAACCATTCAAATATTCTTCCAAAAAATAAAATAATTGTCATTTAATGCTTAAATTTAAGGATTGTACTGTCCTCATTCTAAAAGGTTTTCTCAAATGATATTTCAATGCATATATATTATCAAGTTGAAGGAATTCTATATCCTTGGATAATCTATAATCATATGTTATATGTAAATAGAAGATAATAAAAAAGATTAATGAAACAGTTTAATGTTTAAAGTGTTTTCTAGGCATAAGTTTTGATCCTTTTATTAACATATTGCAAAAAGAGCAGACCAAGAATTTTGCAAATGGTTTTATTTCATACTTACAAAAATAAGAAAAAAATGTTTGAATATTTACTAATAAAGTTGATGACTGGTAGGTAACAATTTATTCACTGCAATATTTAAAGTCTATACATGAAGATAGCAAAAAGTCAGTGGAAAAAACAAATGCATTTTAAAAGTGGTAAAAATAGCAGAATTTATAAACCATCTTAAGATGAAAAAGAAACTACTGTTTAATTCAATCAAATTAAAATAAACAAGTGCACAACATTCATTACATCATCATATATAGGAGGGGTTGATGGCTTTACAGTAAAAAGTATGAAAAACTGAATCAGCAAGCAGAGTTCAAATTCTGGGTGAGATAGTTTGCATTCACTAATATCTCAAATGTTTTAACAAATTTTATTAAAAACCCCATAAAGGAATATTCCTAATATTTTATTTATGTGAAATAATAATTCAGAATTCAAATTTACCGGATTCTTGAAAACAGACATGATTTCATTTTATTCATGCATCCCAAAATAACATACATTGCAGTGTGCTCTTTGTATGCATAAATTTTGGTCTGATCCACATGAAATTAATATATATTAGATTCTCTCTTTATGTTTTTAATGCAAATGTAGATACTTTCATTTCAGATGTTAGGTTTATAGTTATATTCTGTTAAGTTAAATGCAGAAGCTTGGTAACAGTTTGGTTTGTATGTAAGCATAAATGGGAAAAATTTGCAAAAATATTGATTCACATATTACGGTTTATAACCAGGGTAACCTTGTGCATGGGCCTTTTAGCAGTGAATTCTTTCAAATTTTAGATCCACTTGTTTCACAGTAATATGATTTCTTACCTATGTGGTCTAACAAGTTTTTACAAAAGTGACACATATGGAAGCGATGCATTACAAATTATACAACTATATGGTTTCTCTTCTGAGTAAGTTCAAATATGGGGAACTAAACTTGAATTCAATGAGAATACAGATCCAAAACATGACAAAAAAGGATATAGTTTCTCTCTATTTTACATTTCTATGTAGCTCAGCAAGTTTTCCTTCCATGAAAAATCTATGAACTTCATGAGAATTTGGTTTCTTTCCGGTGTATATTTGCATATGACACCAAATTTGACTTCAGTGAAAATGCAGATCCAAAAATTCACAAGGAAACATTTTTTTCTAAAGTATGTGTTTGCACATGGCTCAACAAATCTGACATGTCTGAAAATGCAAATTCACAAATTTCACAAGGATATGGTTTCTCTTCAGTATGTGTTTGCATATGTTTTGCTAAGTTTGATTTATCTGAAAATGTACATCCACAATCTTCACAAGAGTATGGTTTCTCCCCAGTGTGCATACGCATATGTCTCACTAAATTTGACTTTTGCGAAAATGCAGATTCACAAATTTCACAAGAATAGGGTTTATCTCCTGTGTGTATGTGCATATGGCTCACTAAATGTGACTTGTTTGAAAATGCAGAACCACAAACTTCACAGGCATATGGTTTCTCTCCAGTATGGGTACACATATGTTTCATTAAATTTGACTTTCCAGAAAATGAAGATCCACAAACTTCACAAGAATATGGTTTCTCTCCTGTGTGTGTATTCATATGTCTCACCAAATGTGCCTTGACTGAAAATGCAGATCCACAAACTTCACAGCAATATGGTCTCTCACCAGTGTGTGTCCGTATATGGCGTACCAAGTGTGACTTCTGTGTAAATGTAGATCCACAAAATTCACAAGAATATGGTCTCTCCTTATTGTGTGCTTGCATATGGCTCACCAAATATGACTTAACTGAAAATGCCGATCCACAAACTTCACAAGAATATGTTTTTTTTCTAGTGTGTGTACGCATATGTCTCACAAAATTTGACTTTTCTGAAATTGCAGATCCACAAAGTTCACAACAATATGGTTTCTCTCCTGTGTGTGTACGCATATGGCTCACCAAATGTGACTTGACTGAAAATGCAGATTCACAAATATCACAAGTGTACGGTTTCTCTCCAGTATGCGTTCGCATATGTTTCACTAGATTCGACTTTTCTGAAAATGCAGATCCACAAACCTCACAAGGATATGGTTTCTCACCAGTGTGTATCCGCATATGTTTCATTAAATTTGACTTTTGAGAAAATGCAGATCCACAAACCTCACAGGAATATGGTTTCTCTCTTGTGTGTGTGTACATATGATTCACCAAATGTGACTTGACTGTAAATGCAGACCCACAAACTTCACATGGATATGGTTTCTCTCCAGTGTGTGTGCGTACATGCTGCACCAAACTTGATTTCCGTGAAAATGCAGATCCGCAAACTTCACACGGGTATGGTTTCTCTCCACTGTGCGTTTCCATTTTAATGTACCCTCACAACATAGATTTGCAAATTTCACAAGAATGTCTTTTCTTTAATGCTTACTCAGACGTAACTGATTTTTGTAGAATAGACAACCACACATTTGAAAATGTCTGACATTTTGCTAGCTACTGTTCAGTGGGATACTTTTGAATATATAGATGTACATCTTTCACATGAAGAGCATTACACATATTTCTCTGTCTTGATGGAAAATGAAGTGTCTTGTTTTCTTTGATTTAAATTCCCCAAAATTACAATTTTCATATTTCTGTTGATTTTTTGTACAGCTGAAACATCTGTGAATAAAAAGATAAATTAAAAGATATATTAACAAAGACAGTGAATAATACATGAAATCAGTTTAAAACTGTAATAGTTACCTGTAGTTTATATTTCACTGTTAATTTAGACTGGCTCAGGGATACAATAATTTAGCAGTCAGTGAACATCAAAGTCTGATGGTCTGTGGACTTTGTCCAATATATAAATGATTCTATTTGCAGAAAGACAGAATAAATGCAATAATTTTCAATTTAACAAACAATTTTCCTATTTCTTCAGATATCAATACAGTTGAAGATGTGTTTTGATGTTACAATAATGAACTCCACACTTAGCAATACATTTGATGTGTTTTCTCCAAAAATGCATAGTTACTGTGAAAAAAAGGAACAAATGTTTTTGGTAGATATGATTAGAACAGTATCAGATGGATATAAAAGAAGCAAACCAAGACAGCAGTCTTCCAAAAATGTTCTATAACAAAATGACCTTCACTAAAAGTGTAAAAATAATATTGCTTCATTTTTCATAAAATTCGATAGAAATTGAATGGTAACTATTTTACATTTCTAGGTCAAAGGGTTCCTAAGATATGAACCCCTTGACCCTTGCAAAAAAGTTGAATTTTGAAAAATAGTCACAAAGTTTAAATTAATATGTCAGTCATTTTTTAACTAAACAAAGCTCAATTATATACAAGGGTCATTCAATAAATAAGGTGAATTTTTCAGTATAAGGACTTCTAATACAGATAGAAGCTTACTTTTTAATTTTTTTTTGTTTTACTTCTTTTTCACATGAATTTAATTTCTTTTGCAGATTAAAAAAAAACTTTGAGAGTTTTGGCGATTAACAAAGATGGCCGATCAAGAAGCATGCTCCAGTATTGAACAGCGGTCAGTTATCAAGTTTTTGGTTGCTGAAGGGTGCAAACCAGTTGAAATTCAGAGGAGAATGTCAACTGTGTATGGTGCCACATGTTTCAGCCAAAAAAATGTCTACAAGTGGGCTAAATTGTTTAAAGAAGGACGGAGCAGTGTTGAGGATGAAGACAGGCCTGGGAGGCCTGACAGAAGTGAGGTCTCCTGAGGGGATCGAATCAGTCAATGACCTCATTCAGTCTGACAGAAGAACTACTGTGAACTGCTGAGGCAGGTCAAGAAAGACAAAGAACAAACGCAGGGGTCATCAATCAGAAGGAGTCATCTTGCATCATGACAACGCAAGGTCTCACACAGCAGCCCAAACGGTGCAGACCATCAACGAGCTGGGCTGGGAACTGCTCCCTCACCCCCCTTACAGCCCAGACCTTGCTCCTTCAGACTTTCACCTGTTTGGTCCCTTGAAAGCGTTCACGAGAGGCACGAAGTTTAAAAGTGACGATGAAGTCAAAAGTGTTGTGAGCGACTGGCTGAGACCTCAGTCCAAAGATTGAGGTGAGGGAATACGGAAGCTTGTGCACAGATGGGAAAAGTGTGTGACAATGCTGGAAGACTACGTTGAAAAAAAAAAAGTAATCTTCTATCTGTATTAGAAGTCCTTATACAGAAAAATTCACCTTATTTATTGAATGACCCTTGTATCATTTTAAAATACTTGGATGGAACTAAAAGTTGACCTACTTATTTTTTGTTTAAGGTAATTAATTAATTAATTAATTAAGATAACTTATTTTTTGTTTTAAGATAATTTGACCTTGACTTTAACCTTTAATTTCTCAAAAGTTTTTTGTTAATGATTAACAAATCTGTTAACCATTAACATCATTTGTTGCATATTTTTATATTATTTTATCATAACATTAATTCAGGACATTAAACAAAAAAATAAGTAGATCACCTTTTTGCTCCATCCAAGTACTTTAAAATGATATATAATTTAGCTATGTGGGTGAAAAAACAACTGAGATATTAATATTGATATTTAAACTTTGTGACTATTTTCCAAAATTTACCTTTTTGACAAGGGTCAAAGGGTCATATCTTGAGAACCCTTTGACCTAGAAATGCAAAATAGGTACCATTGAACTTCTACTATGAAGCTCTATAAGTGTACTAGATTTGAAAAAAATCCGTATTGGTGGTGGTCAGAACCTTGTTGATTTGGAGCAGAATGACACCAGAACGAGACAAATATGTTCAGAACTGAAAATAAAAAATTCATTTAAATGTAGAAAATTGCTTCTGTAGAATATATTTCTATTTGATAAAAAATTGTTTAATAAAATTGAAAAGAAAAATAGAAAAATCAATAAGGATATCTAACTGTGCTTGAAAAAAGTTTGTAGAATAAAAAATACTGATTTATTTTTTATTCTGATAAGAGTTGTGGCTTTAGGAAAGTCTAATGAAAGCTAATCTACAAAAATTATTTCCCAAAGACTTTTCCCTATTTTTCTAACAAATCAACTAGCCTACAAAGTAGTGCCTTCATCCCTATGGGAAAAATATTTTTTCAATGAATAACATGCAAAGTTTTAATTAAAAATAATTAAAGTATATGATTTAGAAATTAAGAAAATTCTCTACATTCAAATATACATTAAAAATAAATCTATACAGAATAAGACAAGAAAAAGAAATAGTCTTTATTTAATATACTATAATAATAATATACTAAACAAATACCATATGATAAAAAAACTAAAAGAAATTATTATTTTAACTAATACCATTAGTTGTAGAATTCCTTTGCTCCCATGTTGACATGTCACAATAAGTGATGGGAATAATCATTTTTAAAAATAGGTCTGGTTTATATACAAAATCCACCAGAAGCCTTCATTCACTAGGTTCTACTTAGTTGGTACTTAAGTAAAGTTGTGCATGTAGATAATTTTGTTTAAGGTAGATCACATATTTAAGAAGAATCATGCATATAGATCACACAATTAAGTAGCAAAAAAAAAAAAAAAAAAATGGGTCTATGCTGTACCATGACTAGAGTGGTACAGGCTCTGCAGGTGCTTGTCATAGCACAATAGTTGTCAGTCTTGTCTTTCAGACTGATTACTGAGTATAAGAAGTTTGTTTCTTACTACAAAAGAATAAGTAGTCTTTATACTAAGTCCACCAGAAACCTTCATTTGCTGTGTGCTACTTAAGTAAAGTTACGCATGTAGATAATTTTCTTTAAGGTAGATCACATATTTAAGAAGAACCATGTATGTAGATCACATAATTAAGTAATACCAAATAATTATAGTTAATACAAGGTAAAATATTTTCCCTCTTCTTTTGAGATATCAAAATTTGTAAAATAAACAGGTTCAAAATGAAATAACAAAATGTAGTCTAATTTTCTTGAATACTGATTTCTTCTTTAAAAATCATGTGCATTTTTGACACATGAAAAAAAAACAACTCTCCATTTTAAAAACATTACCAAAAATCAGGAAATAATCAGATTTCATTGAAATTTTCAGCATTTATACATTAATGAAGGAACTTTACATTGAATCTGTTTTAAGTTTTATGGAAGTATTTTTATTTGGGTCAATTATACACCAACTTAACACATGGCTAATCCATTCTAGTAAATTTTGGACGTTCATAATTTTTACAAAGCTAAATCCCTAAATATGTTCTATCATTAAATTTTTTTAATACCAACTGTGAACTCATAAAATATACAGTCTAAAATCCTAAGAGATTGAAAATAATTATAAATTATATTTTGTGAAGAGTTGCTGATATCTAATTTTAATAAAATATACTTTATCCAGTGGAAAAAAATTGATATATATTTGTATGTCAAAAAGAATTATATGTATTTTTACATTATTATTTTAAAGCACTTTCAGATTATGGTCGCTGCTGAGAACGTTGATATAAAATAAAGATGTGTATGATAAAATATAAAGTTTAATGCTATTTTTGTGTGATCATTTTTTAAATAATCCTATTATAATTGTGCTTGTCCCTCCCTTCATTAGTTCATATGATCATTATGTCCTGCCAATACCTAATAAATAATGGACTATTCCATTTTGATTATGTAGAAAGAGGAGAAAAGACACTACTTGGTTTCAGTGAGAAAATGAAAAAAAGGGAAAACAGAAGTGTTTAACGGTTGTTTCAGTGAAAGAGAAAAAAAAATTGTCAATTTCAAATATTTTCAGTTGTACCCACTTCTTAAAATAACAACCAGCATTCATATTTATGATTGTTATTGCAATATTTTGTTAAAGTTGTTAAGTAAAAACATCATTTAATGATCCAATAGGAGAATTTCTTATGGATTGTCATAGATCTCGATATGAGCTTATTCCATCATTAACTTATTCATCGAAAATTTGAAATGGGAAAATCGTGAAATTTTCATGGATTAAAACTAGTTTTAATGGTGATATTTTTTTTTATTCTACAGGTGATCAAAAAACAGAAAATTCTGAATTATGTCATGACAATAAAAACAACAAAAATTATTGAAAGTTTTGACTAATAGTGTTTTTATCTGTTTGTATATAGGAGCAACATTGTCAGATTATGAACGTGTTGACAAGCGAGAACATACCTTGCTGAAGAAAATTTATTTTTTTGCTGTATGTTTTTGCCAAAAGAACAATATTTTTTACAAAATCTAATTAACATTCGAAGTTAATGTTTTTTTTTCAAAACAAATATTTAGAAGAGATATTTGATAAAGAGAATGTTAAAGTGTTTTTTATTTTTAATTTTGTTGGCGTCCATCAATTTCCTTACCTTCAGACAAGCCGGAAGTGAGTTTCTTTCTTTCTTTTTTTAAACTATTTTGGTCTCTAAATCTATTCTAAAATGTATAAAATATTTAAGGACATAAAATATTTTTCTTTATTTTTTATAAGTTAACTCTAGCTCTATTATTATCTTTCAACGAAGATATTTAAATAATTTATTTTAAAATGTGTTTCTTTTTCAACATTTTTTTTTGTTTCTTTTTTTAAAGAAAGTCTTAACTTTAAGATATCCTAAACACTTTAACTATTTTAAAATTACACCTTACATTGTTTTATTATGCTGTAAAGAAAATAATAGACCGCAAATAACGATATTTTTTATCAAAATTATTTATATTCTTCCACTTACCTTTCTGATCAGAAAATACAACTAGAAAACCAAAACTGGGTGATTTCTTTGTGCTCAAATGATTTTCATGGGATTTCTCTGTCGACTTACTAATTTTTGTGTTTGTTTAGTTGATAGAATAATGTTAAAGTTGAAACGAATGACACGAAGAAAGAATTACGAAAAAGAAAAACACGAAACAAATGTAAAATTACTTTTGTAAAAAAAAAAAAAATATTTCGTTCGTTAATTTAGGACAAAAGAAATTAAGCGGTGTTGGACAAGATTTGGTTCCTTGTGTATAAAATAATTTCGATTTCTATGGAGCGTTCTTAAAAACAGATGCATGCATGACATTTCCCAAATTTTATTGTCACGATTTTAGTGACAATTTGTATGATAGACATAAATACCGTAATTACCATAAAAAATAATGCTTTATTTTTCTCGAAATAGAAAGCAAAAAATGGCTGTTTTAAAAATTTGTAAAAATTCAAGGAAACAATATCAAACGAGATTTTTAGAAACAAATTCATGGATGGCTTATGCACTACTGAATATTTAAATTTTAGTAATAAAACGAACTTTATTTTGTTACAAAACTGTAAATATTTTGGCCCTTTGGGGGATCAATTTAACTCCCCACCTTCGATATCTCGTTCGGTTAGAACTTTTAATTTCGAGGTTGGTGTTCGTAATGTTTCTGTTAAAAACAGCACAATTACAATCCCCGGAGATATTATCTCAATAAAAAAAATAATAATAATTATGCAAAGTCAAGTGCGAATATACCGAAATTTCGTCTTGAACCATACCAAAACAAAATAATTCAAAATGTTTTTGACAGCTGGTACTTGTATTTACAATTACAAAGTAGCATTTTCTCTCAGATTTGAGTTTGACGGTGAAATAAATTTACACTACACTAGTGACACTGAATATTTATTTAAAAAAAATAATTCTTGTAACAAGAATTTCTTTTTATTAAATAATGACAATGACATGTTTGAAAAATCTAAAAAAGTTTATGCTATTTTCGAGTGTGGGTATTTTGAAAAAGTTTTTTGTTATTTATTTTTGCAACTATTATTTGTGTGTGTGTAATTTCATAAAGGAAAGTATTATTATGTGACTCCGACTGCAATAAATTTTTGCTCCTTATCTTGTATCACTTTCTTTAAAACCAGAATAATGTTAAAAGACCTCACTATTTTAGATGAAAGAATAATTTAAAAAAAAAATAAAAACAATTAAACTTAAAATTCTTAAACCCACAGATTTTGATTTTCAAAGAGATACAGCTGTCTTCAGGCTGTTCAACCACAGAGACGATATGACCACATATAGCTTTTTTTCTAAAGGTGCGTGCTGAAAGAAACATCAGCCTATTAGCCTTCTACATTTTTTTGGTAAACTACTAAAGACCATAATCAATGTTGAATTATTTAAGCATCTCACATTGCTGGGCCTTCTTTCAGACAAGAAGCAATATGGCTTTCATTTCTCTAGGTCAGCTGCTGAGATTGATTATTGCAGTAAATAAAAGTCCATCAAGCTTTAAATAAGAATGGTAAAGTTCAGGCTGTTACTTTGGACACTTTGAAAGTGTTCAATAGGATTTGGCATATTGGTCTTCTTCACAAGTTGAAAAGTTATGATGTCTCTGGATGAATTTTTAAACTGATTCAGTCTTTCTTATCAAATCATGAAATGGAATTTATCCTGAATCGCCACTTGTAATAATGAAAGTGTTCTCCAGGGCTCTAGCCTTGGTCCAACTTTGTTTTTAATTTACTGTTATTTACTGTCTTCCTGATTACTCTTCTATTGTTCTCCCTCCTTAATAATGTTTCTGTTTTCTGTTCTTTCACACCCAGTAACCCCTTGTGTCTTACTGGCTTTATTGTTTTGCATGGTGTAAATTTGATTAAAAAAATGTTGGCAGCTTCAAATTAATCAGCTACAACAATAGCTTGGATGACCAGTGAATTGTTATTGACATCCAGTTGGTGACTTCAAATGAATCCTCTGAAACAATAAGAGACTTTTCTCAACCATAACTTTTTTTTTTTTGAGATCCAACTACTCAAAGACTCAATGAGAGCCTATTTTTACTCCTTTTAACACTTTTAAATTCATGTACATAGGTTTCTAAATAGAAATGCTTTACTTAACAGGCATATTCATGTTTTCTTTATTTTTATTTTATTATTGTTTGGAAGTTGAGTGTTCGGATTTTTAATATAACAATACTAAGACAAATGATGATCCTTCAAGCTCACAAAATAGACGTTATTTACTCTATGTGTTAAGTAAAAAGAATTAATTCTATAAAATCTGGTTGATTAATCCTTAACTTTACTAATGTTGAAACAAATCATTCAGACAAATATTTGATTTTTAAGAGATTTTTAAATTTGCTACTTTCATTTAGAATCCACAGGCTGTTCAAAAAGTCATATGCACTTATATTTTTATTAACAGACATGTTTCAATATAAACTGGATGGAGAATATGAATGAAAATTATAAACAATGCTGAGCATCAATACAGGCTTGGATCCTTCTTAATTTGTTTCTGAACACTGCTATCAGTTTTGTACAGGAAAAGTTTTATTTTTTGTCTGACAGACTCAAAAGCAGTTCCAAGACCAATATCTTGTTGCTGCACTAACTTTCATAATGATTTTCTTGGACTGTCAGAAATATCCAACAGTTTTCCCTGCAATAATTTTGCTGGCCTTTCATAATGTTTGGCATCATTCACTGATCCTTTTTTCTGAAATTTATCAACAAGGTTAAAAATTGTGATGTGGAACAGGTGTATCTGAAAATTTATCAGCACAGCGCTGTTGCATCAAATCTGTGTATCTGCTACCTTCTCAAAATATGTGTTCAATGAGAAATACACATTCTTCAGTTGTTAAAACCATATTAGAGTGAAATCTGAAATATAAAAAATATGAAGTGCACAGTAACTTTTCAAACATCATTGAATAACTATGCTAATGTTTTAAAAATGATTAAAACTTTATTTACATAAGTAATTTTAATTTTATTTTTTCATGGAGTAACTTTAGGCTATAATCTTTTAAACAAATGAAAATTTAAGTTTGAATACACTTAAATTATTTAAAAAATGTTTTCCATTTTATTTTTAAGAAATCTGTGGTGGCAGTTAAAAATTATACATGAAATTACAGTCCTGTACACTTATTCATTTCTTGTACTATTCCTTGTTATTTTAATAGCTTGCTCAGTTTTTGGAAAAGAATTATGGTGTTAATCAGAAAAGAAGTAAGAACAAAGGGCTAGCTAGATCAGCTTCATTTTTACAACAGGGTGTTATGGAAATTTATGAGGAGTGTTTAGGCTTAACACCGTCACAGCCTTTTAAAAATTAAAATTTATAGCGTCCTTACCACAAGCTCCATTTTCGTAAGCACCACAAGCCATGAACCATTCGATTTACCACCTGTTAAAAGAAAAATAAATAAAGAAGTATACAGCAGCTCCCATATAAATTATTCATTTCTTATAAAAGAAAATATGGCAAACATGGACAAATGTGCCTGCAATAAGATATAGTCAAAGGGATAATTTTTTCCCATGACACTGCTTTTTGAATACCTTCATTCTTCAGCAATTAGAACAAATGAAATGCAATATTTATCATTTACCAATTTATATTAAATTTATAAACATTTACTAAATTATTAAAATATGTGAACAAACTATAAAAAAAATCTTTATTTAACATTTTATAAAGTTCAAATCAATTAGCAATACATTTTATAAAGTTCAAATCAATTAGCAATACATTTTATAAAGTTCAAATCAATTAGCAATTAGCCGGTTTTGCCAGTCATTCCAATAAATAATATAATAAATAGTGCAAATAAACAATCTAGTAAATAGTGTTTATTAGTTTTGTTTTCAATTCACAAGAACAAAGAAAATGCATAAATTTACTTTGATATGTTTAGGTTTTATTGCAATTCTAATCATTGATTTTGAAAACAATAAACATTACCAAAGATAGAAGGTAGTTAAAAAAAGCAGCGTCATAGAAAAACCAATCCTTTTGACACTCTGTCTTATTACAGATATGTTTGTCTATGTATGCCAAAAATGTATATGCAAAAATTTAGTTTGAGGATATACAAATTGTCAGAAAACCTTAAGGTATGTAGTTTGACAGTGGTTTGCTCTTAAAATTGTAAAGTAATGCAAGAAGTTATAACTTTATGAGGAATCACAAGATGTTAAATTAGCAGATATTACAGCTGACATATTATGAGAATGACCCATGTTAGTATTTTTATGCCCTTTGTATTTCTGTCTTTCTCACTTTTCTTATTTAACTATATGACCTATATATAGTTGAATATATATACCTGTTCAATTCTGATATATTGTTAATACATCTTGGGCTTTGCTTTTTGCTCAAAACAATGCATTCTGTCTTCTTACAATTGATGTGATGTCTCTTTTTTGTAGCATTCATCAACAGTTCTCTCTTGTTTCTTTCTGAGATGAGGAATTATTATTATTTATGCATGGACTATTGTCTTCATCTTTATTGTTGTAATCATGACGTTTCAGCCGGAAAATACAGCAAAACTTTGATAACAACAACAAAGATGAAGAGATTAATTCAAATATAAACACTGTAAATATTCTTCCTAGAATTTTTCACTTTTACATCTGAATCTGCCACCAAGACAGTGTCATCTGCATCATGTTTGTTGTTAATGTAATGTCTGCTGATAACAAATCCTGGCAGGTCGTCTAATTCTCTTAGTCCTTTTCTCTTGCTGACATCAACTATCCTCTCTAGAATTACTTTTCAGTTTTACATCTGAATCTGCCACCAAGACAGTGTCATCTGCATCATGTTTGTTGTTAATGTAATGTCTGCTGATAACAAATCCTGGCAGGTCCTCTAATTCTCTTAGTCCTTTTCTCTTGCTGACATCAACTATCCTCTCTAGAATTACTTTTCAGTTTTTCATTTGAATCTGCC